ACTTTACGAACGGAGTTGGGTAAGAGATTCCAAAACGAGGTCTCTCTAATTTCATAAGATTTTTCAAAGGAAGCTGTTCTATGAGAGGGGATATACAAATTGGAAGGATGAGATATCAAATTTAAGGTTGAATCGAAGAAAGAATATTGATGAGGTCAACAATATGGAATTTTGTTCTCGACGATCGGAATAGGAAGACACCGAGGAGGTATTGTCTTCGGAAATAAAGAAATAACTAGATTTAATACCAGTGGGAGATGTGAGAGCTTCTAGGAACATCCGAAAATAAATCTTATGAATCAGTTTATAAATATTTTCGATCTCATCTCGTGCTCACCAGGTAGCTCCATACACTAGATATCCGTAGTCGAAAGGGTGAAGTATGAGGGAGTACACTACACGATCGGTACATCGGAAAAATAAATCACTGAATATTTGGATCTATTTAAGGATTGAGGTTGATTTTTTAGTGAGTCCAAAAATATGGTTTTTCCAGTTTAGGTGTTGTTCAAAGGTAACTCTAGAATCAAAATTAAAATTCCTAAAAAAACTGTTCTATTTGGACAAGATATATAATATAACGGTGAATATTTAAAAAAAAATACTAGACTCTTAAGCTCGTAGAATCTTGTACGGGTATTCTTTTCTTCTTTTTTATTATAGTACTTATCGGATATTTTATAAAAAAAAGCATATCGACAAAAGACACTGACAACCTACCAACTATATCGGCATATAACGTCAGTCTCGAAGCGTTAAAAAAATGTTAATTTTAAAGTAAACATATTTGCCTAACATATATATATCGCCATATGAAGTAAAAAGTATAGAAAAAAATCTTTATCATTTAATATATTTTTACTTTGTAAAAAATACTAAAATGGATTTGCGAAGTTTCCATTGCCTATCGTCGATATGTTTGATATGTTTGATCTATAATATTGATCTATCTATAATATTGATCTATAATATTGATATGTTTGATATCTATAATCGATATGTTTGATCAGAACACAAAATTTCTAATTTTTTTTTTTTGTATCTGTTTATTGAGAAATAATACATTTTGCCACACTTAAGGATACTGAGTAAGGCTGAGCGAGGCACATTCATACCATATATACAATACCATAAAAAAAAAAATAAAAAAAAAATAAAAAAAATATAAAAATCTATATAACAAAGGCAAAAACTATAATAAACCAAGGAAATGTAACTTAGAGTTAATATTAAATGAAATACAGAAATTCGTAGCAAAATTAAATAAATTATAAGTAAAGAAATAAATAGAAAAACATTCATACTTAAATACACGAACACAAAAATAACGATCAGATTATCTTTGACCTCTCACTGTATGTATATTGTTTAGCATCCTTCTAATCACTCACATGAACCACTAAAACCACAGCATAGATATCTTTTAGAAGGCCTTGTCACAGATATGCTAAGTGTTTAGCAACTCATAGTTTCTTAAGTGACATTGAGCAACAATGTGTACTAAATGTATTGGGAGGTCTATTAATAACTGCATAATAATCGACATCATTATGTCAATGGATGGGATACCGCTCTTTAGCAGGATTCATATGAATATTTTCCTGAAGTACCACAATTCCCAAAGAGATCTCGAACGAAGGTCAAACTTCTTTAAAAACAAGATACTTCTGAATTTTTGATAATAATAATAATAATAATAATAAGGCTTAGCGAACCCGAAGGTTCGATGCCGACACCACCAATCGCTTGTTACACACCTCCCTCCACCGTTCGCCGTCCAAACGCAGTCCCTTCAGATCGGCTTTAATGCAATCTTCCCAACTTCGCTTCGGTCTACCCCTCGGACGCTTACCATTCAGCACAGCAAATATTAACCTTTTAGGAATTCTCTCGTTACTAAGCCCAACAACTTTACAAGCCCATTTGATTCGCCGCGATGAAATTACCTCAATTATATTACCCGGATACAGCTCACGCAATTCGGCGTTGTGTAACCGTCTGAACTCTCCGGTTAACTCATCCTTCTTCGGTCCGAATATTCTACGCAATACTTTATTTTCAAAAACCTTAAGACGCTGCTCATCCCTTAATGTAAGCGGCCAAGTTTCGCATCCATAAAGAACTATAGGCAAGATAATTGTTTTATAGATTCTAATCTTTAAGTTTCGGGACAAGAGGCGCGAACTAAGTAGTTTTGTCACAGAAAAATAACAAGCATTCCCCGCCTTCAGTCTAACCTTAATCTCTTCTTCAATTTCGTTTTTTCTAGTTATCGTAGAACCCAGATACCTAAATTTATTTACCTGTTCAAACATATTACCATCTATATCGATATCACCAGTAGTATCGCCATTTTTGCAGCGTTGCCATTTTTGTGCGGAATTTTTCATATCTTCAGATATATTTAATGACACTTGGAGAAATAATTATAACGATACCGTACATATGTAGAAGGCAAACGAACATGTCCGGACACTTCATTCATCCTCTAGGCCAGCGTGCCGCATGCAGCTATCCACGTTTCTTTGCGCAGCGATTACTTATTTTAAATTTAAATTTTCATGTATTTAGATCCCTCTGATCTAGAAGTGTGATGAACTGTAATGCAGCTTTCTAACGGTTTTATTAGTGTTGTCTTTGGAGAAAACCTTGAAAAGTTAAGAACGCTTTAGAAAATCATCTTTTAAGGAAATTAAGCATAATTATACTTATATTAATGATATTAATACTAATACTAATTAGAAGCGTCATTTTGTTTTTTGTAATTTATGGTACATCGTAGCTCATTTAATACTATTGGCTATTTTCGATTCTGAACAAAAAACGAATCGATTGGTATATATACCCTAGAAATTCTGGCAAAAAGAAATAATGATGGTAAATGTTTTTTGAAAATATTCAACTTTTTCTCTCGGCTCCTAAGACCCCTTGGAATGAACACCAGGATAAGTGTCTAATACTTTTCACAAAAAAAAAAAATTGTATATATATATATATATATATATATATATATATATATATAGTTGAAATAGGTGACCCACTGATTGTGACCTCCCTTGTAACAGCTTCTCCTTGAGGTGATATTTTAGTGGGCAGTGACCCGTAAGTAGACCCGTTATAGTTTTCGACCCGTTCCTTGTTAGGTTTAGGTAACATTTAGAATATTTCTTTTATAAATTAACAAAAAGTAAGGATCATTACATAACAAGCATCTGAATACAAGGAAACTACGCACCTCTCTCTCTCTCTCTCTGTTATTCATTAGGATTTAATTTATTTCCTTACCAGCCTCGATGGTATGTTGCCATTATCTCTTAGTCTAAGCCCTTCTTATAAATCAATATGTCCGTTTCAATTACTCATTTTTTTTTAAAATAACAATAATTCAAAACACAAGTAAACATTTACAATTACAGTCGAGAAATACATTGTAAATTCTGTCTTGCCAATAAATCACATTAAAAATTACAAGATATCGATGAGTTTTAGATATCAGTAGTGGCTATATAAATTTGCTTGCATGTTTCCTTAGTGATAATTTATTTATACAATTCTTAAATAAATGAGGAAGGTATGTTGAAAAAAAATTAATATTTGTAAGTATGTTTAACAATAGGCAACTATCCTCACCGTTAAACCATTACCAATTTTAGACCGTGGATCGATCCTGGGCCGGGAGACCATTATAAGGAACATCCAGACTCTATAAATTGGGTACCCTTAATAATATAATCAATTTAGGGGGGAAACCTGGCGGTTGACCGTAAATTCGGTCAAACTGATTTTTGAGACTCCTAAATCTTTTTTTTTTTTTTTTTTATTATTTTAATGGAATTTACAACTGTATTACATAGAAAATACAATAAGTAAATGTGAAATTGGTAACATGACATGTACAACATGAAGAGAAACTACCCATTGGTAGAACTCAAATTCTCCTAAATCTTAAATGCTATTTGTTATGTGTTATGCAACATATTAAATTATCTTTGAAGACGCCAATATCTCATATTTTTATATTAAATAAGTACTTGACCTTTTTAATCTTTATAAAATAGACTCCATTACTACTTCCTCGTTCTCCTTTTATTACCGATAATCGTCTGGAGTATCAAGGATTCAGAAGCAACACTGTTTCTAATCCTTTGAACTTCTACCTTCCATGAAGGGACTTGGATGCAATACATGATAAGGGAGTACGGACGCCTAGCCAACAGTTATACCAGGAGGTTACGTGGTCAGCATCTCATCCTCAACCCATTATCTCTTTAACGGTCCAGCAAACAGCAAAGCGCGAGACTCATTTCAACGATAATCCTTTGCATTGTGCAAGTTGACTGAAGATGAACTAAAGTGACGTCTATCTTTCACTCAGTCGCTGGAATGGATACGGAGCTGTAATTCAGTCAAATTGATCGCGGCAAAGATATTTAGTAAGGAACAGTGTGTGTAGGTATTGTTACTAACTTCAGTCGGCTCCAAACTCGAGAGCCTGATAGAGGAAATGATGAATACTGGATACCACTGAATAGGATACTTCGAATATTCGAACTTGAAAAGGAAATGCCCAAGTTGTAGGAAATACTATTTGTTCAGGAAGAATATAATTTTGTTATGATTAATATAATTAATCATTTATGGCTATGAAACATTCAGTGTTGTCGAATCGGAGTATGACAATGATTCTTCACACTATTCCGGTAAATTTACTCCTTGTTATAACAACAAAATTTAAATTAATTATAATTTTTAAAAAATCAACTAAACAATCGGAACGGCAATTCAGCTTAATAATATAAACACCTGATGAATATACATTTATGAAACATATGTTAGCATAATTACTATGACAATCCATGATTAGGTAAAATGACTTATGTTTTTCTTCGACATAAAACATGGTCTTTAATGTTAAGCAAAGAGCATCTGTCTTTTTATCAACAATATTATAATTTTATTTCACTTCATTAATACTAAATATGATTCGTTTTTTGTTCAAGGTGAGCTAGGAGCTGTTGTGGCTCTTGCAGACTACAGACGTCATTCGGTATGTATGATTAATTTTTAATATAGAATAATATTTATTTAAAATCTGTTGTATATTATATAATTTAATTACTATAAGTACGAAGCGTTGACTCATTGAACGTTTCGATTGCATTTCACTGGTGTAAAGCCCTCTGCACACAGAATGCGATTTGTACCGACGATATTATAAACTTTAGTCGGTATCGCGCTCTGTGTGACAGCTATAATACAATAGATAATAATACAACTACAACGCTTTATCACCACCGACAGAAATATCGTATCACTGAGCATTAGATAGGCAGCAGAAGCCTGTAATCTACATGCATATATAACAAACGCAAGCGAACGGTAATCATCACTTATTACCAAATTTAATCATTTAAAAATTTAGTTTATTATAAAAGATCTTTTAAAAGTTTTTTTTTATTTTAATCAATTTAAAAAATATAAATAAATGATATAAATCATCTATAAAAAATTATAGCAAAATAAATGTATTTAAAAAAACCTGAAACAAATCTTATTCCAGGATCCATACCAGTTTTCGACATATTTAAAAAAACAAAAACGAATAATAGAACACAATACTTTGCTAATATGGGTCTAATTTAGATTTTTTATTATTTTTTTTTAAGATAATTCAATTACCTCTTAAATTAAAAGTATACATCATAGTGACGATTTTATTTTTTTCCCAAGAATGCAATATTGTACATTTATAAATGAAACATCGGAGATCTTCAGACAGGATTCATCGAAATCACTAAAATCTTTTGGCACTTATTGCGCACAAATTCATGATTTGAGGAATTGGGAGCCAAAACCATTCAAGTGAAACGAAATCGTTTTCCCCAATGATCGAAAATGTGTTTTTCGGACCAACGGTCTCTGAAACGTAAAGATCTGTTGACAGCCAAATACTGAAAATCCGACACAATAAGTATAAGTTCCTTAATAAGTATCCTATAGTGACGGCAACGAAAGACTTTCATATAATCACAAAAAATAATTATTATTGGAAATTTAATTTATTTTCTAGGAAATACACACATTTACTGCCAAGTAATATATATATTTATAAATATTTTTGTATTTTTTTTTTTTTTATTGAAAAATATTACAATCTGTCTCAAGGACAGTTTATTAATTAAATAAAGTAAAACATACGAATTCCTCAATATTTCTATATTAAAACCAAATTTAAATATATATAATAAATTTCGGTTTTTTAGTATTTTCCGTTTATCGTTAAATTGTATTTCAATTACTTTATTTGCTTTCATTTAATATTTTCATTGACAGTTCGAAATTAATTCTTGAAAGTTCAAATTATACTCTAAAAACTTCACATCAAACTAAACTTGTAAGTTAAATTTATTATAAATCATTTCATATTTTCATTTTTACAACATATTGGTTTAGATTGACCTCGGAATCCTCCTCATTCAATGCCTGATTCATTCGGTGAAATGATACCAGTCTGCTACGCAGCTCTGATGTCTTGGTTTGCATATACGAGCACCGCCTTAAGACCGGTTTACACGTTTCTTTGTTCTTTTCGTTCTTGAAGAAAGTCACATTGGCCAAAAAACTTAAATGTATAAACTAGTTTGGATAAGTAGATATATTAAATAAATTATGATTGAGATATAGCAGCGCAGCTCGTGTTTAAGAAAAACTATTCTTTATTCTTGACACATCTAGTAGAAAAATAAGTGAAATAATCGATTGCAAGACGCCGAATAATAATTTAAATTTTATGATCAGCAATACCAGAGCCTCCCATAAAAAAATAAAATATATGTTGCGATTCGATATAAAAATAAATTTAAATATCATTTGTTCTGAAATAAATTACTTGATTCCAATCTGCCATTTGTTTAAGTTGCTTAGAATATATTTTTTTTATATTAAAGAAAAATAAAATTTTCAGTTAAATCGAAACTAATTAATAATTAATTTTTATTTTTATTATTTGGGTTTTCTACAACTTAAGGAGTCATATCCCCAACACCCAAAAGCCACTGCTCCCTGTCCATCCAATCTCCTTCACGAAGCCCTCTGGCTGCCATGCTTTCCTCCACGTCCTCTATTATTAAATTAAATTAATAAATTTTAAAATTTCATTCGAAGCCGTAATATAACGTATTCATTGCGGATTCGTTTAAGAAACTTGATCGTGTAAACGTGTTTATATAGTCAGTAGTGAGTGATCTGTAATGATTAAAAATCAAAGTATTTTACTAGAATGTCACGATCGAGAAAATGAACCAGGTATACAGATCTTAAGCCAATTATTAATAAAGTAATAATAAACTAAAATTTACGAAGCACTTAATAATATTTTAGCAGTAAGTAATGAGCGAAATCATAATTGTACAGTTGAGTATAATTATGATTTCAAAAATATACCGAAAGGCAAGGGAGGAATTATACTATACAGAGTGTTCAATATTAATGAGTCAATAAGGAATTTTGTCAATATACACCACTTCTAATAATAATGCCTCAATAATATTGACCGTGGGACTCATTAAAAAAACTCGTTGACAGTTATTTAATGAATGTGTGACGATCTAAGATATACGATCAAGAATTAATTAAGAAAAAAATTGTATTCTGTTTTTAACAATATTGATATTTAAAATAAGATCGCATAAAGATATTCTATAATTTAAATATTAAAATAGAGCGGTAAATAGTGAATATGTTGTAACCATTTACATCAAATAAGGGGAAAGGTTCTATGTTCCAGGCAGGACAACTTTTATGATTATCGCCAACATGTCAAAAAGTTTCTTCTATCGGTTAACCTGCTAATGCGATATTTTCGTTCTGACAGCTCGAATGTAGGTCAAATTCTACTATTGAAGCTCTTATAACGTCAAGCTAAACGTGTAAGTTAAACTAAAGCAGTGGCTAGAATTTATATTGAAAGCAGAAAATTAAAAATAATGTGGTTTAAATCAATAAAAATGATTTAACTTATAAACTTCAATAGCCAGCAGTTATTTAATGCAAATATAAAGAATCAATTAAATTTGGTTACAACAGATTATTTTCCAATAACATTTTTTCTTTATATTCTTACACCTGAAAAGGATATTTTATCTTTTTTAAATTTGACGGTTTCAATTTTTTTAAAGTTTTATAATACCGGAAAACGGATAATTATATTAATTTGTCAATTTGGAAAGCATATTAAAAATATAATTTAAAATTAAAAGACTTTTAATATGGTAAATTTAGTCATATTTATGCGTTAGTTATTTATAATAATAAGTTAAAATATTCTTAAAATCAGGTCCTGAAATAAAATAGAAATTTTTTATATTTAAAAAGTTTCAGTATTACTGGAATTTTTATTGTCAATAGTTTTTCAGTTCTTTTACAATTAGAACTTTCCTAGAACCTTTCAAGTAAAGATTTTACAGAAATTTTATTTTTTAAAAATCTTTTATTCGAAAATTCGGTCGATTTTCATAAAAACTAAATTTAATATATTATATTAATTATTAGCTACTTAAACAAACGACGTATTTAGAATTATGTGTGATTCGTTTAAAACAAATTATAACTCTAATCTAATTGTAAGCCCAATAACTGTTTATTTTTAAAGTAACGAACCTTTTCTTTTTAAGAACTTGAATGAACACATGTTAAACTTTTACCAAAAATCTAAAATTGAATTACTAAAATATTTCTTAAAACTTTTCACAGAAACTGTTAAAATAGATCATTTTAAAAATATGAATATAATCCTCCCAGATCCACTAATGGAAACTTTGTAATAAAAAATATTAAGACTAATTTAAAATACCTTGGCTAGGTACCTAACGAAATTCTTCATATTGAATTCCAATACAGCTCACCCACACATTAGGAATCCAACTATTACATATTAATTTAAACCGACATAACAACAGACTAGTACGATAGTGCCTAAAGCTGACAAAGACTATAGCTGACATATCTATAAATACGAGAAGACTGGATCAGAGATCTGTTTCCTTAACCAACTAGGGTATTAGTTTATAATACAAAATGAGAAAAATACAAAAATGAATTTTTCCGTTTGCTAAATTCTATACTGTTTAAAATACATTTACGAATTAAAAAAATGTAGCCGAATCTCTCGCAAGTTCCTTTCAGTAATAACTGTTTCATTTCCTTTTTCGCATCATTTATCCAATATTAAAAAGAAGGCCAGGAGCCTCTGATTATATTTATATTTCACAATTTCTATTCTTTATCATTTTCATAAGGTTGGGTGATAGAAAATTACATTTGATAACCTGTTTGAAAATTATTGATTTTAAAAAAATGTATAATAATTAGGTTTATCAAGATTTAAAACATTTTTTAAAAATACTTAATTTCCATTGACGTTCAGACAAATTTCGTTATACTCTTTCCTAATTGATATAAACAATTTTGTGAGATTCGTAAAAAATATTCAAAATCAAATAACTGAAATTCTTTATTTTCGTACTATGGTTATTAAGTATTGAATAAGAAAACAACAGTTCCTTGTATTATATTATTTTTATAAAATGTGTATACAATACTATCACGGTTATAATGAAAAAAAAAGCTAAAAAGAATTATAATCAGTATAGTTAAACAAATAGTAATCAAATTAAACTTTTTTTTAATAACTATTGAACGAATTTAAATTTAATTAAAAAATATTTATATTTTTCCAAGAAACTTAATGAAAAAAGTAACACTTTCTTCTGTTTTTTTTAAATTATTTTTTCATTTAGATTTTTTAATCTTAAGAAGGAATTTTGATTTTTAGAATATGAAATTTTAAATTAATTTTTTTTTTTAATTTTTGAGATAAAATAAAAAAATAGTGGATTGTAAATAAAAGTTTAATAATGGTTATACTTATAAATTTCTCTTTAATTATTGATGTATTGATATATAATTTATATGTACATTTATAATAATGTTATTTTTATTATAGATATCATTTTTTGACATGAAAATGGTAAAAATTGCCCGGAACGT